ATACCAATTCAGTGAAGAGACTCCACTCCCCAGGTTTGGCCATAAGGCCCAAAACACAACGACAATCAGAATACCGTGTCTGGGGCTGTCTTTCTGGACTACGATGGAACCCCACTATTCCAAAAACATGCCTACAGTCCCAGCTTCTCTAGAACACTGATGAAGGCGGCACACTTGAACCTAATCTAAAAAATAAAAAATAAAAATAATTTCAAGACAGGATTTCTCTGTGTAGACCAGGCTGGCCTTGAACTCACAGCGATCCACCTGCCTCTGCCATCCAAGTGCTGAGATTAAAGGCCTGTGCCACCACTTCTAGCATAAAGAATTTTTAAAAATTAAAGGAGGAAGAAAAAGATCTTTTAAAAATTCAAGGAGGAAGAAAAAGATCTTATCACCAGTTTATTACTAAAGAGAAAATGCCTTCCTACTCAGGGCCCTTCCTCTGCTTACACACTTCTACTTTTTCTAATACATTCTCTACCTCCATCATTCTCTAGTCCCAGAAGGACTAGAGAATAGAACTATGTATTAGTTTCCCGAACAAAAAATAGCCTGTTGTGGAATCTCTCACTCAATAAGAGAACTTGAGACTGACTTGGTACAAGAAACATTTTTCTAACTAGCACCAATCATAAATGAAATACTGACTTCAACACACTGCAAGCTTCACCCCAGGAGCACTTCCTAATTCCAGACAGAGACAAATGGATCTAGACCCACAGCCCTAACAAGTAATCTACACCTCTGACTCTCCCATATCTGTCTCAAAGTGACTGTACTCCTGGGTTCCACAATTTTCCCAATACTTCTGACAGATCCGGTCACATGTGTCAAACTTAGTAAGCCTCACACTGAATTTATCTTAACCACGCCCCTCTCAAATAGTTCACCGACAACTTTCCAGATTTCAATGTGAAACCTGACATTCTCAGACCTTTCATAGGCCCTTTAAACATTAAAGAACCATGAATGCAGTACCTACTACATGGCAGTTGCAGAGCGTGGACCTTGACACTGACACAGAGCTGATAATCCAGCCTCCATAACTTTATAAATATCTCTGCCATGGCATGCACCTCAATAGCAGAATGCTTGCCTAGAGTGTGCAAGACTGTGTCTGATCCTCTGTGTGATAAAATTTAAAAACAAAATAAAAATTCTCCATCTGTCCCCTGCCCTTGATACTCAATGTGGCTCACTTGAGCTAGGGCACCACCTACTCCTGCCTGACATACAAGGAATACAAACTGACCACATTTGTGACAATCAGCCATATTCCAATGAAATCTTAGAAAATTCAAGCCTTTCTAAAACACACTTCTAATTTCATTGTGTTGTTAAAAATCCTTCAAAGGAGATCAGGTGTGTTGGTCCCTGCCTTTAACCCCAGCATTTAGAAGGTAGAGGCAGGAAGACCTCTGTGAGACAGAGGCCAACTTGGTCAGCATAGCAACTTGTAAGCCAATCAGAGCTGCACAGTGAGACCCTCAACAACAAAAACCCTCCAAAGGCTCCCCACATAGTTTAACAGAGTACATACTTTTCAGCACAGCACATGAGGCCCACAGAGCACTTGTCTGCGTACACTCTACTCTGTGATCTACTTGAAGGTGAGAGGAGGGCGGAAGGATGGGAAGCAGAGGAGAGAGAAGAGATCCATACTGCCCTATGCCACCCACCACCAACTCCTGCCAGGCCTGCAGATTTTTCTCATTCCTCCAGACTCCCTCATTTATACGAATCCTTCAAGCTCTGCTCAGATCACTTCCTATGAGACTCTGAGGCTGAGACTCACAGCCTACCATCCCTTCTCCAGCTGTTTTAAACCTGTACTCCAATAGCATATGTAATCAGATGTTTGCATGTATGTATACACTGGTCCGAAGAAAAGGGCAGAACTGTCTGGTCCATGCTCCTTTGACATCTGCAACAGGGCCTGACAAAGAGAAGCTGTTCAGTTTGTATCTGCTGAATGTATAAAACTGCTTCTGGTGTCTCTTCCAATGAAGCAATTAACTGTTGCTTCCAAGGAGATGGGATCTCCTTTGTCTCTGGAAATGCTCTAAAGAGATCTCTAATCATGAAATGTTAAGGTGTAGAAAATACTTGTTACAAACTCAGGAGGAAGAAGAAGGTGGATCTCTGTAAGTTCAAGGTCGGCCGGGTTTACACAGGGAATTCTAGGACAGCCAGAGCTACATAACAGAGAGATCTTGATTCGGAAAGAAAGAGAAAGAAAGAGAAAGAAGAAAGGAAAGAGAAAGAAGAAAGAAAGGAAGAAAGGAAGGAAGGAAGGAAGGAAGGAAGGAAGGAAGGAAGGAAGGAAG